GGGGAGGGGCCCTGCAATCACGTGGGGGAGGGGAGGTGCACCAAGGGATGCTGGGACTTTCCCTCACGGTGCATCCTAGGTCAGTGAGGTTGGCAGGTATGGAGGTGGGCAGGTGAGGCTGAGTCATGAGGGACACTGGGTGTGGCTTCCTGGATCGGCTCCAGAGTTGACACAAGGTTCCAGTAACGGGTGGCTGAGCTGGGCTAACTGCTGCTGGTGCTGCCCCAGCCCAGCCCTGCACGTAGCAGGAGGAGGAGGCGGGGAGGCAGAGGGGAGGTGAAGAAGGAGGGAGGGGAGGGAAGGAAGAGAAGGGGAGGGGAGCACAGGAGGGGATGACAAAGCTACACTCCCCTGCGATGCTAGCCCTGGGAGGGTCTCAGAAACTGGAAACCACTGTCCATCCTCCCACAGGATCACTGGGAAGTTCCCTGAAGGGTGGCTCTGGTGGATGTGCCCACCAGGCACTCCTCAAACTGCACACCTGAGGGTGGAGTTTCAGGCGCTTGGGGAGCAGGAGAACTGTGGACTGTGGTGCTCGGGGCGTCTTGAGCAGTCAGCTGTGGGGTCAAGGCAAGAGGGCCAGGGTTCTAGTCTGGGTCTTCTGCACTTATGGCTCTGATACTTGGGGTGACTCCTGCCCCTCTTCAGCCTCGATTTCCTCGGCTGTGAGATGAGGGGTCCACCGGCCTCCCAGGCCTACTGGGAGGTTTGTGCAGGTTGAGGTCTTTGGGATTTCTCAGGCCTGACCATCCCAGGGCAGCTTCTTCCCTTCTGGGTCCCCTGCACCCAGCCTGGGGCTGGGACACAGCAGACACTCGGGGATGATGGGTGAGGCAAGGATGTTAAGCACCAGCCTGACACACTGTCCAGCACCTGCAGGTGCTTCTTAGGGGTCAGGTCCTGCCCCGCACGCTGTGTTGCTTTGGGCAAGGTGCCTTCCTCCTCTGAGTCTCCGTCTCCCCGTCTGTAAGAGGGGGCTGGCCCACCCAGACCCAGGGCCCTGTTTTACGGACACTGGTAGATGGCGATGGTGCAGGGTTGGACCTGGGGCCTGGCTCTTCCTGGAGAGGTGGGCGGAGGGAGGAGGTGGGGGAAGGGCTGTCGCACAGATGGAGCCCCCCGCAGGGGACAGGGCGAGGCCAGGACAAGGCTGTCGGGCAGGGTCACTCCGAGGGCACTCTGGGTAAGCAGCCGTGCCCGTCCCAAGGTCACGCCCATGTTCCAGTGTGCATGGCTGCCCTTGAGTTGTGCACCAGCTGGGCTAACAGTGGTCCTGAGGTGAGAAAATCTGATGCTTCCTAGTAAGTATGGGGGCCCTGGTCCCCATCCCAGGCATTCAGAGCGGAGGCAGCTGGCTGGGTTTCCACACCCAGGGGTGACCCCCCCGTCACCTGTTCACTGACTGACAGCCTCAGCGCGCCATCCGTCTGCAGGTGGAGGGGTGCAGAGCGGGCTCTCAGTCTGGGAGCAGGGGTGGGGCGGGCGTGGGTGTTTCCGACTGGGATGGGAAGCTGCCTCGGAGCCACAGTGTGATTGTCAGGATGGTGAACTTGGGGCCCCGTTCCTGTACACTCTGGTCCAGCAGGAGAGCAGACTCAGTACAGCCAGACCTGCTTTTTACGAGAAGTCACCAATCTAAGTTGTGTTGTGAAAATTCTTCTGATTTTAAAAAAGTTGACGGCGTATTGGATGGATACATCCCTCCAACTGATGCGGTGGCCCTGTGTCAGGATGCATCGTGGGAGGCTCAGGGCAGCCCTAGAGGGCTCGGGGCACAGACGCAGCTGAGATGCCCCCGGGGCCCTCAGGGCCCGTGCTGGAAGGGCCGACCTCGGGTCCACGCTCTGCTCCGCTGTTGCCCCTAGGAGTCGTCAACGATTGTTACAAGGGGCCGAGTTTTCATCTTGTTCTGGATCTACCTGGCGGGGAGGCCTGAGCCCACCTGGCAGGGAGAAGGGAGGGCTTCAGTGGGGGCGAGAGACCAGCAGGCAATGAAGGGGCCGAGGGGGCTGGGGGGTTAATCCACAGCAGGGTCCGTCGAGGCCGTGGGTGTGCCTGTGACCTGTGTGTGTGTGGTGTGTGTGTGTGCAGTGGCGTGGCTGTGTGAGGCTGGGATCTGTGTGTGTGTGTGTGTGTGTGATGTGCGTGCATGGGGGAGGTGCCGGCCGGCAGGGAGAGGCAGGGAGGGACACAGCAGCCCCACAAACACTTGCCCAGCGCTGTCTCTGCGGCGGGAGGGCGGGCGGGCGCCATGCGAGGCCCTGCGATGAGGCCCCAGGCAAGAGGGAGTGGGCGTGGGTGGGCACTGGGAATAGAAGGTGGAGAGGCCAGCGCTCTCTCCCACTGCTCCAGGGCAGGCAGAGCGAGGGGGAGGAGGTGGGGGGAGCTGAGGGGGAGACCCCCCGCAGGCACACCTGGAGGGGCTCCCGGCACCTGCCCAGGAGCACACCCCACGGGGCAGATAAGAGGTAAGCAGTCCAGGGCAGGACGGAACAGCTGCCACGCCCAGAGACACACAGCCACGAGGGAGGAGGTGGCGGTTGGGGAGGAGGCAGGCGGCCAGGTCTGCTGGGCTCTGCTGGGTCCATGGGGGGAGGGGAGGAGGCCCTGTGTGGGGAAGCAGAGCCCTCTGGAGGGAGTGGGGGCCCCTCCCTAGGGCCACCCAGCCCCCAGCAGGCTCCCATCCTGAGGCAGGAGGCCAGGGTTCTGGTCCCCTGTCACCCACCACTGACCTTGGACCAGCCACTAGCCTCAACAGGGACAGGAGGACACTCCGTCCCCTTGAAGGGCTGTGGTGCGGATCCAGTGAGATGACAGGATGAGGAAAGCCCCTCGTAACTGAAAATGGCAGGACAAAGGGCAGGCGCAGCTGCCTCCCAGCCCCGCAGCCCAGCCCCCTCCCCGCAGCAGACCCTCGGAGGGGCGGGTAGCATCTTCCCTCAGGGGCCTTTCTCTCTGCTGGAGGCGCAGGAGCCGGAGGTGGGGGGCCTGGTCCTGGGGGCTCCTGCTCACTCTCCTCTAAGGGACTCAGGCAACAAGGGGGCCTCTCTTTGGGGTGTCAGGATCCCCAGACAACTGGGTGGAGAGGTGAGCAGGGCCCCGCACCCAGCGATCTTCAAGAAATGAGGTGATTTCTGGGCTGGGATCCCCAGCTGATCAGTGTCCCCCAACCCTGCGGACTGACACGCCCAGGCTTCAGAAAGGAATCTGCTTTCCACACGCTCCAGAAGATTCTAGCTTCTTTCATGACTCTGCTCTGACCACCAGAACTCTTCCGTCCAGAGTGAGTCCCACGTGCACATGCATACACGCTCCAGTTTCTCTCAGCTTTCCCCTCCCCCGTCCCCGTGGTGAACAATCTGGTATCTCTAAGACAACTAGACAGCATTTCAAACGTACAGAATGGCCTTGGAAAGTGCGCCGTGGAATCCGGGCCTTGGCGGGGAGACATTCTTCTCCAGGGTCTTCGCCTACAGCTCCCGTCAATGCCCCGTCCTCTCTGAGCCCTGGAGCACCGTCCTGTGGAGGCGGCGACAGAGTCCCAGAAGTTCTGGAATTTGTGAGGACGTCTTGAGAAGAGCCTGAGCCCTGGAGAAGCCGCCAGGGAGACATGCAGCTCGGCACGGGGCCGCCGCGCCTCCCTCCGTGTGTGAACGGGGTGCGAGTCTCCTCTCCCGGGCGGATCGCGTGGGCGCGGCGTGGCCGGAGCTGTCCACACCTCTTCCTCCCCGTCCCTCCTCCAGTCCTCTCTCGCTTTGTCTGTTTTCCCTCCAGAAGATCGTATCTCCCGTTTCATGTCCGACAGTGAAGCTGGGGTTTATCCTGCAGCTGACCTGGCTGGAATGCACAGGCGTCCACTCCACAAGGCCGGACACGCAGCTCCAGACTTCTTAGAGCACGCAGGTCCACACCCAGCCTCGCGGAGGAGGCAGGCCCGGGGAGGCCAGCAGGTGCCTCAAGTCGGCAGGACGGGTCCCGAGCAGACTCACCTGTCCCCTGCTCCCCCCGCAGCCCCCACCAGCCAGTCTGTGCCCCTGGCCCTCAGTTTTGGGGCATGCACACCCACCTCTGCCCTCACCTCTGGACAGCAGACCCTGCCCTGGTCCCCCCTCTTAACCCCAGGCCCACATCCTATCCAGAGGTCCAGGCTTGTGTACACAGGTAGCTAAGGCAAAGGTTAGAAAAAGTCCCGAAGGCACTTTATTGGAGGTCTCTGCCCCCATTCACAGGAGGAAGGAGCCAGGACTCCGTCTGGAGGGTCCTGGCGTCGCCCCGCCCCTCACTGGCCCAGCTGGGGGTCTAGAACAGTCAGTGTGACCATGGCGCTGGGTGGGGGAGGGGCGGGGAGGGGAACGT